AATATCATTGCATTACTTATTACATTATTTAAAGTATTTTTTTCCCTAAAGCATTCTCGCTGTAAATTTTATTTTTTTTTAAAATGATGCATTTTACTTTAGATTTTATTGAAACCATATAATGATTATAATGGTGAATAATAATTTGAATAAATAGATTTAATTAAGAAATTTTTTTTTTTTTAAACAGGCAATACCAATGTTTGGCTTAATATTATCTGGTCAATTAGTTCAAACAGACTTTCAATTAGTGGGAAAAAAACAATTCTTAATAAATGTTCCTAATGCAGATAACGTGAATCACATCGTCGTTTTTCTTACTGGAACAATGCCTTTCCCAGAAGGGTGTGGAGGTCTTGTTTACTTTAGGTAACCTTTTTTTAAATTTTTATTCTAGAAAAATTTTTTCTTGGTCTTAACATGCTTTTTTTCATATTTTAGTTTTCCAGATCCAAATAGTCCGCCTTGTTGGCATCTGTTGGGATTTATTTCAAATGAAAAACCCAGTGCCATATTTAGGATTTCAAATTTAAAAAATACAACTAAATATGCATTGAATGCAGATGGAAGTACTTTTATGTTCGGTCAAGGAGAAATTCGTTTAACTGCTCAGGTAGGAATAGCCGTTGAAAATATGGCCAATATTCAACAACAATGTATCAACACACCTGCAGAAAATATTAATGCTTCTTCATTTGTTGAATTCTCTCAAAAAATGCTTCAAAATTTTATGAATTATGCATCAAGCTTCATAATTAATCAAGCCCAAATGGTGCCTAATGTTACTGAAAGTTATATTCCATTTTCAGTACTTTCTAATTGGTATTCAAATTTTGAAAGAAGATTACTCCAAAATCCAAATTTTTGGAAAGAGTAAAATAATTCTTTTTTCAAATGTTTACATAATAAGTATTTATACATTAAATCAGTGATTGTGTGAGATCAAATTTAATAAATTTTTTTTTAAAAAAAGTGAATGTTTTATTTAACATACAAAACCGTAAAATATTGTTTTCTTTCCCCCCTGTTTAAAAGGAATGCCTATAATTAGCGAAATGCATTGATATTTTGAATAAATATAAGCAAATTATGATACCATAATGTGTCAAATTAAAGTCTAGTATTAAAAAAAAAAAAATGGTCTTGAATTAAACAATTTATTATTTATACTGTCAATTGAAGTTTCATCACTTTTATTTGTCATTAAAAATGAAATCAACGGTCAAAATTACCTCCTCCTCCTCCTCCTCCACCATTTCTTTTTCCTCTGAACATTTTATGGTGATTTTTTCTATATTGTTCATCTCTTCTTTCTCGGTTATAATAATCATATCTGTTATTGGAGTTATTCTGATAAAAATAATTCTGATTTCTGTTGTTGTACGAATTATTGCGATAATCGTTTTGATATTCATAATTAACTCTGAAAAAAAAAAAAAAAAATTGGATATTGGTAATATTAATATGAAAAATTATAAATATGTGTAAATGAATACTTGCCTAGGAGATCCAACAGTTGAATAACCGTATGCCTGAACGTGTGATTGCGGTGTTTGAAAGTTATATGAAGAATGTGGATTATATGAAGACATAACTCTGCCTCCTCTGTTTGAAGAATATCCTCCACTATTTCGACTCTCGTAATTGTAATGGTTCAGCATACGATGACCTTAAGGTAAAAAAAAAAAAATTATTTTTAAAAAAATTGCAAAAAAAAAACATAAATTAAAAAATTTTCATTTAATTTTACCCGCGTCAGTTACGAAAGCCTTTTTAGTTGAAGGTACCATTCCTATTTGAGGTCTCCATTGTCTGTTTTGTTCAAAGCTAAGGTCACCAGGTTTGAGAACACGTTGCGGTTCAACTACTCCTTTCAACCTTAAGTTTAATGAATAATAATTGGAGGAAAAAATCTCGTGTAATATTTTAAGACTAATAAAAATAATTACTTTACCTCTTGGCTTTGAATATAAAATCGGAAGAATAATTTGGGTTTCTATAATGAGCGCTGATAACGACATTTTCGTGAATGGAAGGCAAATCGCGTAATGGACTCAGTAAGGTTTCAAGATGTCCTATAAAATCTTTTGAATGTAAAACGTTTCCTCTCATTCCATCAAAACAAATTTCAATTGCCTCATTTGGAGTTGATTCCTAAAAAGCAAACAATTTGTTTAATATAAACATACATATATTAATTTTTTTAATTGAAACCAAGTAAAGATTTTATTTAAATAAATAAATTTTAAAAATGTTTACTTGAATAATTAAACATATATACCTGAGATTCGTATAGATTTTTTAAAAAGCTATATCCTTTATTATTAATTCCCAGGTAGATTTTATCATCTCCCTGAGTATTTCGTATCTTTTCGGCGGGAGTAAGTAAATCGTATAATGGCGCCAAAGCCCTAAAAAGTCTCTTTTCATCAACAAACGGTAGTAATGCCACTCCTTGCCAAGCAAATTTTTTCCCGTTCAAATCAATCTGAAAAAATTCTATTTAAATTATTTTCATAATTAGTTATTAAATTTGACGGAAAAAAACAAGGTTCGTAATATTAGTATTTTTAACTATAAAATGTGAATTTTTACAAGAAAGTTAATAAAAAAACATGTCCCTCATTTTTTAAGCATTGTTCTTTACGATGAATAATTATTACTTAATTAAACACATTAACTTAGGTTTATAAACTATACGAAAATTATTTGAAATTATAAATGATAATAATAATAAAATACATTTGTTGAATTTATACGGGAAATTTTAACCTATTATCGAACATAATTCACTCGTCAAATTTAAAACCCAAAGAAACTAATAAAAAAAAAATAAATTGCAATAAAATTATAATTCATTAACCTTAAAATCCAGAGGATAAAAATCTATAATTGAAGAAAGTGGATCGTGCATCAAGACAGCCCACGATTTGGGAACGTGCGAACTTGAAGCCGGTGGGAAAACGCCCATTAATTGTTCTAATGGTTTGAAAGGTTGAGTACCTTTTTCAAATTGAGTCGATAAATTTCCTATATTGATGAAATCAGATGCAAATGGAGCGTAGTGATATGGAAAGAACCATTTCCAACTTGCACAACCTAAAATAACATTCGGTTAAAAATTTAAAATAAATAATTTTCAAGAGGGATTCACATCATTTTACCTTGATAATAATAACGTAAAACCCAACATAATCCCCGGACGTATTCGTGAGCTACCCGAATCCGAAAATCAATGTTATCACTTTTTACATCGAACTTTGATTCGTAGTACCTGTCCTTGAATCCGTCTTCCCATAAACGGACTTCATCGTATGTTTCTTCCTCCTCCATGGAATCTTCTTTTAAAGGCCTTTTGTTTCCCCTTCGTTCAGAGGACTTTAATTAAAAAAAATTAAAATAATGTTTGATTTTACATCATAAAATTAATAAGAATAATTCATAAAAATTTTTCCAATGTGATATTTGAATAAGTTTTTTCAAGTACTACCTCATCTTTAAGAAGTGCTTCAATATGAGAATTTGAGTGGCTAGCTTGGATTCTCATGTCTCTGGCTGTTTGCCTTGGACTTACAATTGCAGGTGGCTGAAAATTCTGACCCAGAGGAGTAGGAGCAAACTGACCAACTGGCAAAGATGCAGGTATCCTGAAAGTTTAATTAAAAAATCACAAATAATTTAGTTAGCAATTTAAAATTAATTTTACTCATTACAATAAGTATTTACTCACTCATTTTTATACTGCAAAGCAATTCTTTTCTTTGCAGCATTTCTTCGCTTATACATCAATTCTGTTTGTTGACGATGTTTAAAAATTTCATCCTCTACTTTGCCTAATTCATTTAAAATAAGTTGAACTCTATTTAAATTAACATCACCAGAATCTGTGACAAACCCGCCTGTCTTATAAACACAATTTTTATAAAGGTTGACAAGTCTGTCGATGGCTCCTTCCCGAATTTCCAAAGAAGGTAAATGGGGTAAAAAATCATTCCCAACAAAAAAACACATGAAAACCTAAAATTGCAAACTAATATATGTTATACTGCTTTTAAATAAATTTTTTTTAAAATTAAAAACACTTGAATTCTTTACCCAATCATCGATCACTCTTTCAAAATCATATTTGAAGGGTAAGCCAGGCATGGTAAGTTCTTTTTCTAAATATTCCCTTAATACACTCAATCTGACAAATATAAAGGGAACTTCCTCTCCAAATGTAGTAGTTTCAATCATTTCTGAAACAAAATTTAAAAAATTTTAAAATCTTTTCATAATAAGTATTAAATTTGAGCAATCAAACATTTTTAATCAATTTCATATTGATAAAATTAATATTTATGTATAAATAATAATTTTATAAGTCAAATTCTATTTAAAATTATGAAAAATTTTAAATTTTCCTATCTTTAATAACAATTTTAAAACTTTAAAGTACACACTTTTGATGATCTTTCAGCAAATAATTTTCAAGGATGTTAAAAATGAATTTTTACATAGTAATATGATATCTTTAAATTTAAAATAAAAGTTTTCTTAAAATAATAAAAATGCATAGATACCTCCATCTAGTGGTTTAGGGCACCCTATGCAGTCTTTCATATCGTGACCCAGTTGTGAACAAATTTCACAAGGCTTAGGTTTATTAGGTCTGAATTCTTCTCTAATGATTGTGAAATTTGGTTCATGTGTAGCCAAACCCAACATTATAAGATCTGCATCAGCTCCACATAAAACATGCTGAGTATTTGGATCATGATCAGGTTGTGCTCTTTGTTTACGAATAAAATCCATTATTTTGTGTTCACCTTCTCCTGGAACACTAGCATCTGACAAAATTACCTGTGTCGTAAAAAAAAAAATTATTAGTTAAATACACAAGAAAATTTACAGTAATAAACTTATTTAAAGGCAAATTAAGACATAAAAGGTTCTCAAAAAAATTTTTTTTTTTTTTAAGTTTGTTAGTTAGATTTTTTTTTGCTTATTAATACCTTAATTCCTTTCCAAGCTGCATCATTATTTAATTTGTCATGAATATAGTAATCTAAACAAGCTGATAACCGATTCATAAAGGGTGTACCAGGAGTTATACAATTACTATCAAAATGAGACTCTTGTGGCTTTTCAGGTGGCAAATAAGCACCTTTGTTTAATAACTCTTCTCTTAATCTAGTAATTTCTTCAATTTTTTCTGCACTTTCTTTCGAAGCTCTAAATCTTCTAGATCTTTGTTGATTCATTTTCGCTCGAGGAGCAACACCATCTATAGCTAGGTATAAAAGTTTGCGAGGACGAACAATAGAAAATAATCGGTCAATGCAATCAAAAATTTCAATCATCATTTCATCTTCATTTTTAGGAGCAGGTTTATCTTCCGGATGAGTACAAGGATGAATTATTCCATTCATATCAAGATACAAATTATCAAATTCAACTCCATTAGGATTTGGTTGTAGAGAATCAACTGATATTTTAACTCCATCGATTACTTTAGGTTTTTCTTCAACACAATACACTATGACTGAGGGATACTTTTTGCTTAACCACCTGAAAAATGCTGGCACACCCATACTGTGAACATTAAGTAAAAATTGGGATTGTAGAGTAAATTGCCTCAACACACGGACATTTTGAATTTCTAATGACACGTTTTGTTGTATGGAAAATTATTTACAAAAGCGCAAATTTATTTCTGTATTGTTAATATGAAAACTGTAAAACTAAAATAAAAATAATTTGTCGTATACAAACGGTTTTAAAAACTTTTTATTAATCAAAGCATTTACATTCTATAAAAACAAACTGACGTTAACTTTTAAGACATTTCCTAAATTTAGGCTTTAAGATTTAAATTAAAAAATTTTTTTAAAGTAAATTATTAATTTAGTTGTAATGTGATTTATGCTAATTTTTTTTTAATGGCTAACAAAATTTTTGTATTTTATGTAAAGTAATGCTATTAAAACATTGCAACTAACGGGTAAACATTAACAACAACTAGTTATTTTCATTTAAAAAAAGTTTTAATTAAAGACATTATGAATATATGTATATGTATTCTGTAATTTGCCTCTTATATAATGTTTAATGTTACTATGGAGATAACTAAATGAAATTTTGTTTAAGTACGAGTAGTCTTGTAGTATAATTCGATGAAACCACTTAGATTTTGTTAAATCATAAAATGTCAACTATTGGAGTAAAATATCATAATGAAGACATACATAATATTATTCCCAAACCTATGTCACCTACAATTAAATCTCCAAGATACAAATCTAAAAAAAGTAAATTTTTACAAAATCAAGAAATAACAAAATTAAAGTACAACGGCCATCAAACTTTTGGTTTAGCACGTTACGAAGCCCCGCAATTTTGGAATTATTTAAAAAAAAGGAAGCCTAGGATTGAAATGCCAGCAGTCAAATTTGTGGGTAAGTTAATTGCATGTTAAAAAAATAAAATTAATGTTTTAATTTAAAAATATCTTATTAAAATTCTATAATTCAAATAATTTATGTTTACATTCATTTTATTAAACTTATAATTTTATCAGGAATTAGATACTCAAAATAATTTATCATAAATTTATTTTTTATATACGAAAATTTAATTTTTTTTTTTTTTTTTTTATTTAAAAAATAGTTATTATTATATTTGATTTTTAGAACGGCAAAAATATAAATGCGTTGAAAATTGCAAAAATGTACCATTACCAAAATTCAATAAAACTAATAATTTAGAAAGTACGAAAAAAACACCGAAAAATTATGTTAAAGCAAATATTGAAATGATAACTAAAATCGAACCTAAAATACCTAGACCTAGAATAGTGGATACTCCTAGAGGAACAGTTAAGGATTTAGGTATACATATATATAAAAAATAAGGTTTTTTAACGTATTTGTTATAAGTTATTTATCTAAATGTAAATTGATATTTGTAATTAGTCATTAAGAGAAGAGGAAATCGTAAATAATTTTTTTTTATTTAGCTCATTTAATACAAATGATTAAAATTAGAGAAAGCGAAAATTACGGTAAAATACCAAAATACCTTTGTAAGAGAAGAAAACAATGGGAAGCTGAGGAAATGAGAAAAAAAAAAGAAGCAGATGCTGTTTATGAATACAGAAGAAGAATGGGTATTAACACAATGGGAATGGGTGAAAACGTATACATGATCGCTGAGGAAACAAGGCAAAAACTACTCGATGTAAATATAATTTATCGTTAAATTTTTTTCGCGAAATAGAATCGTCAACAAAATTAAAATATTATCATTATTATTTATTTTTTAACAGGGACTAAAAGAAAATTGGAATGAGCTTACAAAGCAATTTTTAAAATTACCCGTGATGAGTGACACATTACCAAAAATGAGAAGGAAAATGTGGTTGGAAAAAGAAATGGATCAACTTGAAAAAGATGTGAAATTTGTCGAAAGTCATCCTTTTATTTATTTAGAAAGACACGATTTAAGACCGTGTCCGGAAATATTAGCGGGAGAAAGAACAAAAAGTTTTAAGGATAAAAAAGAACCGGAAAAAAAGAAAGAAAGCGAAAAAAAAGACGGGGAAAAAAAAGAAAACGAAAAGAAAGACGGCGAGAAAAAAGAAAACGAGAAAAAAGATGGCGAAAAGAAAGAAAACGAGAAAAAAGAAAGCGAAAAAAAAGAAAACGAAAAGAAAGATGAAACAATAGAAATTAATCCAAGTGAGAAAAAGGATGATGTAGAAGAAAATACTATTCCGAACTAATAAATAAATAAAAATATATATATATATATGTATATATATTTTCAAAATTTAAGTAAAATTTTGATTGTACAAAATAAATAAATAATTAATGCAATTTTTTGTAACAAAAGTTAAAAAAAAAAAAAAAAAAAAGAAGATGAAATATATTAAATTATTTATAGTCACTCTCACATTTGCCTTTTTTTGTTGTTGTTGTAAGGATTAAGTTTCTGGTTCTTTTAAAATTTAAATTCTTATAAATTATTTTAGAATTAACACCAATAAATTAATGAAGACATTAACTGAATATTGTATAAATCAAATATTTATTAATTATTATTATTATGTATATATCACTTACCGGATGCTGTAATCATTATTATTATTCTTTCAGTCATGATGAATCGCCTATGGAAGATACTCCATCATTTAAGTTTTTTTTTTTTTTTTTTTTAAAACAGAATTCTAAATTTTTCGAGTACAATTTTATTTATTAAATATTTTATAAAGTTTATCCTTCCATTTTTCATTGAATTTAATTATAACGTCAATAGCGTTTCCTTGAGGATTTGTAGAATAGATTTTCCGATCGTTACCAAACGGTTTTTCAACATAAAGAAAAATTTTTTCTTTAACAGCTGAATAATTCAAAGGTATTTTATTAACGATCGATTCATTTAGAGCTTGAAAAAATAACTTCCATCTTGGTTTATAAAAATCATGTATCATTCCTGCCCATTGTTTGGCGGCATAGTCTCTTATTTCTCCATTAGAACCCCACAAAGTGATTTGATTCCTTGCATTAAATTCATAATTATCCTTTTCTAATTTATTCGTAGCCATATTTTTTGCACTTTCCAGCCAATTACCCAAGAGAAATTTTTTCCCCGTATTTAATATCATGTCTAATTCGTTGAGGAGTTCTAGAAACATGTTTGAATTCTCTTGAAAATTTTTTTTATCGTATGTCACAAATTGTTTTATTATTTTAAAATATAATTCACCGATAGCTATTTGTATGGTTTGTCTTGTTACATCAATTAGATCATGTTGAAACAATGATGATGTGGACAGTATGCTGTTTGAAGATGCTATTTGAAATTTTTCAAATATATCCAATATTATACTTCTATTGTACCATGTAAATTCATTCATGCGAAGGGATGGAAATTTAGTCAGTATATTTTTAGCAATGTGTTCTCCCTTCACCAAAGTGTACATTTTAACATTGGACGAAGTTAATCGGAAATTCGAATCTGGATTATAATTGTAAAGAGTGTTTTTCAAAATCAACCATGCGTCTAAAATATTTTTCTCAATTAAGCCGTATCGTCGAAGTGCATATTTTGTAATCCAATCATCAAGATCTACAGGCTTTGTTCTTAACGCTAAATCCAATGTAAAATCGTACATGATGTAATTTTGATCTATACCTTCCGGTGCTATACCTATTCCAACCATAGTTGAATTTTTAAATTTTCTACCCTTAAAAACGCCTAAATTTACTCTGTTCAAGTGTCCATACATGCCCAATTGTCCACCAAAATTATGAAGCGTGCACCAAATAAATGGCTGTCCAAAATAACTTTGTAATCTTTTGTACTGGGGAGTCAAATCTGATTGTAAATCTAAAATTAACATTCTACCCTTTGGAACTGCATTTATAAAAGCTTTTACTCGCTTTAAAGATGCCCAAAATGGATCTATGAACATCCATCCTTGGACAAGCCAAGTAGCTCTTGGGTCTACTGAGCTCATTGCTTTATAAATTGTCGATGAAATTGTTGATAAATAATCAAGGCTTTCTGATGCAGGTTTATTCTCATTAAATACATCACAATTGTAAATGTGATTAGTGCCAAATTCATTTATATACTCCTTTAAAAAGACTCTACTAACTACTGAAAATAAAGGATCATTTGAATCCAACAAATACGGACAACAATAGTCTCTGCTAAATTTATTCCATTTAGGCATTTCTAATAATTTAGCAAATGGATAAGAATCTTTAAATGATCTAGGAACAATACCACAAAAACTAGGTAGTACAGGTGTGATACCTAGTTCTCTTAATCTATTAAGTATTTTGTGTTGCAACAATAATTGTTGTTGCAACCAATTATTTGTTAATCCGTAACTGAAATTTCTTACATTTCCCATTCTATTCCAAGCCAAGAATGCAGGACCAGTAAAGTCATCATAGGATAAACCAAGGGCATCATATGTTCTTTTCCAAATAGCTTCTTGCCCTGTAAAAGCCAATGCCAAATTTATGCCATTGATAGCCATCCAATCAATTTCTCTTTCCCACCTGTTCCAGTCCCACCAAACAAAGCTATAACTAGATGTACACACATTTTGATAATATCTAAACTTTTCGACAGAGTTTACGGATATGTTAACTACAGGTAAAGTAACAGGAATTCTTAACTGATCGCCATCCCATGAAATATGGACATTACAGAAATTCTTTAAATAAAAACCTACACCCCAAACTAAAGAAATAGCATTCGGTCCACTGACAGACACCTTAGTATCATCAGGCGTTTTTATAACTGTAAATCCATCATTTTTTGTAGTATTATCAATGTATAAATTAAATAAACTAGATTTTTTATATCCTAATATTCTAGTTAATACATCTTCTGCGGCTTTTATCTGAAGACTAGAGCTTTTAATATCTCCCTTACATTTATTTAAAATAATAAATGTTACAAAAAATAATAAATATTTATTCATTGCATTTAAAACACTAAAAAAATATTAAAACTTTATCAATTTGAGTTTTTTTTTTTTTATAAAATCAGAAATGGTATGCGTTCCAAAAATCCTTCTAACGCCACGATAATAAGATTGATAATTCTGGATTATGGGTTTCATAAACGCCTTGACAATTTTGAAAGATTAAATTTTATAAAATGAACCATATCTTAAATTATACTTATTATTATAACAAAATTATACTCAAAATCTACCAGTTACGTTTCTATAGCATTTTTCTTCTACCCCTAAGATTATCTTGTTTTACTCTCTGGCTTCGTTATTTTTTAAAAAAAAAAAAGTATGGTCAGATATATAACAACGAACATAGAATAGAAACAAAATTATAAAATGACGATTTCAATTCGAAAATATTTTTTTATCACCATTTATGTCAAACCATACAAAAAAACCGGAATATTAATAATGTAAAAACTGTTTCATAAAAAATTATTTTACCACCATTAAGAGTCGGTACAAAATGTAAAGATAAAAATAATACGAAAATTAAATATGATTTTCGTTGAGAATTTTTTAAATGAAATGTAAAAATTTTATATAGACTTACTGGGTGGAAGAACGTCTAAAATTACGCTGAATGAGCCTTCAAATTCGATAAGTTTTCTGAGAAAAAAAAAAACAAAATTCTTTTTTAAATTCTGGAAAATAAATTCTAGACATTATCACGTGATTTTATTAAAATTTGTCAAAAAAAGAGGTGAAAATTAAAAAATTAAAATGTTCATAGTGGTCAATTTTAAATATAATTATTAGAATAACTTACCACTGGTTAGGAATCCATCACAAAAAGTGCAATATTTATTTGAATCTGAAACTAAAAAAACAAAATTCAATTTATTATGATTTGTATTAATAAGTATGCAGTTATCCAAAAGGATCGAATAAAAAGAAAAATGTTTTTTCATAATGTATAATTTACTCTTTGGCTAATCAATGAAAAATATATATATAGTAGTGTCAATAGACTATGTATTATATGAAAAATTTTAAAACTTACCAAAAGAGGCCAATGCAACAGAGTCACAATACTGGCAATTTAGGTAAAATATTTCATTACAAGGCAGCAAACTAATGCAACATCTAGGAAATGTATGTGAATTCGAACAAGATGACATTTTAGGATTCTCAAACAAAGTCTGACTACCACAAATTACACAAGGTTCGGCAATAAAGTTTAAGCTAAAAACAAAAAGAAATAAATTGTTAAATTTAAAATTTTTTTATTGAATCTTATTTTCGACTGATTGACTTACTTTATTGATTCGGCTACTTTTTGACATATTGTAAAACTTTTTTTTTCTAAATCGGTCATAACTTCTTGATTGCTATATTTTTTTACCATTTCTTCTGCATGTTTTTTTATAATTAAAAATTCTAGTTTAAAAATAGATTCATCCAATCCAGAGGTTTGACAAGAACGCTTTAATTTTGCTTCCCATAAATCTAATTTTAATTGTGATAGAGACAAATCACAGTGATCAAATGAATCCTTAAATTTTGAATAATCCTCTAGAAGTTCTAATCTTTTTAATTCAAGAAAATCAGATATATCAATTAATTTGGTATCCATTTCAAAATTTAATATTTCATTAATTAAACCACAACTTGTAGAATTACATAAAGATTTATATTGTTTAATATTAGTTGTCCAAAAATTTAAATGAGTAGTATCCTTCACTGATTCATAAATCATCTTGGGAGATGATACAGTAACCCAAATAGCTTTATTTTTGGATGTGGCTAATCCGTAATTATTATATGAGCTTTTATATTTTTGCTTAATTCGAACATTAATTTCAGTAATATTGTAATTTAGATCCAAGTCTTTTAAATATAAAGAATACATTTGGTGATTTTGTAAATTTAAAATTACATTATTTTCATTTTCTACGATACTACTGATAATACATGAAAATTTTATCCACTTAGTTTTATTTATTTCAATTTCATTACTAGAATTAACAGCCAATACATACATTAACAAAATGTGTCGTTTGATCACATACACAAGAATTTTTCCTTTAAAGAAAGAGGCTGTAATTTTACTTGGTGCAATCAAGTCTTCTTTATCCCATAATGTAAGATTAAAAAGTATTTCTAATGAATTTAAAGAAATCAACAAAATTTTAACAACTCCAGATAGAGATCCAACCAATAAAATAGCACATTTCGAGTTTGGAAAAGTGTTCACATTAAAAGTGCACAATTTTATATCAGTACTAATCCAGTTATCTACTTCAATTTTTAAATTTTTATTAATTTTAGAAATTTTCCAAAAACAAATAATTCCATTTTTATGAAATGTAATAAAATATGGTTGGAAATCTAAAAACCATTTCATGCCAGAAATTTTCAAATCTAACATTTTTGTATTCAAGTCATCAATATCCAAATCTTGGACATTAAATACATCATTGCAATATGAATTCCACAGTTCAGTAATGCTTATAATTGAAATCCACTTACTGTATTCTTTTGTGAATATTTCTAGTAAACCATTATTGGTTAAGCAGGATAAATAACTGAAAATATAAAATTTAGAAAAATCAATCATTTGAATAACATTTTGTTTATTGAGAATAATTTTCATTACTAAATAAGCACAATTTTTGTAAATGATAGTAATTTGATCATATGCAATTATTGTACTATTTATTTTATTATGACTATTACGTTTTTAATGTTATAAATTTTATGTTCTACAAGTGAAAACTTTAAAGTATTATGATTACTTAGTAAAAATTACCAAATTTATTAATATTTCAATATTTTTAATTTTCCATATTATCAATAATAATAAATATATTTGAAAAATTAAGAAATTGAAAAAAAAAACAATAAGTTTATAAGGTAGAAATTACCTTTGATTGTTAATTAATGGGCTAAATTCAATTTGAATAATTTGTGAACTATTGATATTAGAGCTGCACTTATCAGTACTAAAGAATAATGTTGAATCAATAGGTATTTCATAAGTACCTTTTTTTTTCTGATTCGATAACCAATTACTTGTATCAAAACTTTTGCTTTGCAGAGGCGTCATGTCTGATACTGATATGAAAAATTTTCGTAATGACACAGTTTGGTTTTCAGTCAAAGAAGTTGGCCATAATTCCTGTTAAACATAATACTATTAAAATAATTTAATCAAAAAACTGTTTTTAGAAAACTGTTTATAACTTACAAATATGAATACACCACCGTCGGCAATAACAGATATTTTATTATTCTCTGACCACGATATGCAAAAAGTTTTACTAATATGAGAATTTATCGTTACGTTATCCAATTCTATTAATTCTTGCCAAAGAGGCGAAAAAACAGAACTAATTTCCATTTTATCAGTTAATTGTAATAGTATATAATACTATTTAATCAATGAGTAGATTTTAAAAAAAAATCTATTTCCTAAATAAAAGTATTGAATAAATTTTTACATTTCCGTTAAGTTATATTAATTTTGACTATTATAATAACAAACCGTGACAAAAACATTGAATTAACGTGTCAGGAGCAACGTTTAAAAAAATTAAAATATGTCGTATCACAGTGATTTCTTTGGCAATGGTGTATAATGTAATGGTGAGACATTTTTTGACAAGATTTAGTTTCTTTTACGAAAATTTACTAGAATTAGCACATCATATCGAAAATTATTATATACTGTAAAAAAAAAAAAAATTAACTTTTAAATTATGTTCTACTAAATTATTCTGGATAAAAAAATATTTTAAGATTTTATAATACAGTAAAGGTTTTGTAATTCTATCATAAAATAGAATTATATATTTTAACAATCTTGTTAACGTATTTGTATGTCATTATTCCTTTTAATTTACTTATGTAATATTTAATTTTAATTACATTAATGAATAAAACTTTTGCACTGAAAAAAATAGATAATAAGTATATTAAAACAGTTTTATAGTTAGGTGTATTTACATCAGGTAAATTATGATAATTGTTTTTTAGAAACGATTTTGGTTTTCTTGAATCCAGAAAAATTATTCAATTTTTTAATTTCTAATATATCATAATGTACATATTCAGCTCTATTATCAGTCATCAATATTTTGAAGTCTTTCTCTTAAACCCCAATTTGTAAGGTTTCCCTGTAAAAATTGTTTTACACAATGAGTAAATCAAGCTGTAGGTTTTAAATTAAAAAAATTAAGTCAAAACTTACATATATCAAAGTTAAATCTGTCGATGGTTTATACTTTCCCTTGTGATAAAATCTAGGATAAGGTCCACAAATCCCTTTGGGTAAATGATTGAAGCACAAGTCATAAGTGGTTGTGTAATTCCCATAATAAGAAAATCCCATATGATCAATTAGTAACTCTTGTCCAAGACCCTGAAAAAAAAAAAATGTTTTTTAAAGTTCTTAATACCCATTTAATTTTATTGTGTAAAAATCAGTATTATTTACAAATTCAGTTTTGTATATCTTACATATCCTTCAAAAATTTTATTATAATATTCTCCTCTATCAGGAACTTTGCTCTCACATTGACATCTAAATTGGTCCATATGTTCTGAAATCATTGGCTCTGTAGTCGTGACAGGTACTTCATTATCATTTCTGAATTCTTGCCAATTGTTAATTAATGTTGCTGTAAACAAAAATTTTTTTTTTGCATTAAGGATCGTTCAAATTATTTTTACTTCATAAAGATATGATAGTAACAAAACAAACACTAATAAATCTATATGAAATGCATTTTATTACCTGGGCTATAAATCGATTTAAAACAGCTTTCTGGATAATTAATATTCTCTGTTTTTGAAGCATCCAAAACATTTTGAATTCTATTATATGCACCTTCATTTAAATTTAAATCATCCATTTTGTATAGTAAATTTTTTTACAATTATTATTAAAAATGTGATGACAAATTAATTATTATTATTATTTTATTTAATATTTTAGTACTTATTAAAATTTAAAAATTTTTTTTTGTTACGATAAAATAATATTTCATAATAAATTTGATTGATCAAATTTTTACATCCGTAATCAAAATAAAAATTATAAAACTTTTTTTTTTTTTTTTTTTTTTCAGAAAAAATAAACAAATGAAATTTAATCAAGGATGCTTTGGATTGCTTCGCTTTTTGTTTTTGCCAACATCAATTTATTATTAAACGTACTCGCGACGACAGATATAACGTTTCAAGTATTTGAAAAAGATACCGAAATCCTTCCAGCAGCTTTTGGGGATTTCAATAGTGATGAAATAACTGATTTATTTGTTTTACGCAATAAAAGTAAAACAATTGAAATTCTTTTGGGGTCAAATGAAGGGACTCCATTACTCAAAGCCGCCGATTTAAAATGTACTTTTAACAATTCTTCAATAACCAATGTCGTACCGGGAGATTTCAATGGCGACGCTCTCATGGATGTACTCGTTACAACCAAAAATATTAAAAATGAAAAAAACCTCAATGTTCATTTGCTTTGGGGAAGTGGCACTAGTCTAAATTGTTCTTTCAATGAAAGTAAACCCTTTTTAACATTAAAGGGAGAGCCTTTGGCTATTGATTGCAATAGGGATTTTATTATAGATTTATTTGGAGTAGATGAATATGGTCGTAGAGGGATTTGGGTTTTTAATAAAAATTCTCAACCTGTATTTCAAAATTTGAGATCTGAGGGGAAAAATTCTTATAAAATTCGAGACCCTCATTCAAATGCATTTTTAGATTTAAATAATGATAATATTCCAGATTTATTTTTAACTGCACAAAACCAAGAAAGTTATGTTTTTGAAGAGTGGTATGGTCTACTTGAAAGTCCATATTTTTTTTTCAATAGGCTAATTAAACCACCGCAAGATGTAAGATATAAACTTGGACAATCGGTTTTCCTGGATTTAGAGCTTAAAGGAAAATTGGATCTTGTTGTTCCTGTGATAGATAAAGTAAATCCTAGAATTTTAGTTTACGCTCATGATAATTGGAAAGAATTGAATGTCAATTTTAAAAATGAAAACAACATTTGGCATTTTATGGAAAACGGTCTTCCATTTTCTAAATCCGTTATCCTTCGAGGAGGAGATTATAATATGGATGGTTATCCAGATTTATTGGCCATTCTCACAACGGGAAATTTAAATCGAACATTTCTTTTGGAAAATGTACCTTGTTCAACCGGATGCAACAATTTTTCTCGATCTTTTCAAATTAATTGGAATGGCTTTGGAAATAATTTGAACGATACTGCGGCTGGTGTATTTTATGATATTTTTCAAGATGGAATTTTAGACATTTTGTTAATAAGAAAGCACAAAAACGAAAGTTACTTTGTTTCGGCATACAAAAATAAACTCAATTATGATGGTAATTTTTTTAAAGTTATGGTTTTGACAGGTTTGTCTAATCAAAACTATTCTAAAGAAATAGGACGGTTTAAAACTAACAAAAATACATTTGGAACCAATCTTCCTGGACCTAAAGTATCTTATAAAACAGTTGATCAAGATGGATACGAAAGGACGGGGGTGAGTTCGCAGCTACCCCAAAGTGCCCATTTTTCCCTCAATTTGCCTTACATAATGTTTTCCTTGGGTAGGACTCCCAATTTTGTTGATAATATAACAATAGGTTTTGCTTCTAAACATAGAGATCTTTTTCAAGTAATTCCAAATTCTCAAATGGTCGTCATACCTGTGCAAATTGACAATCCTGCCAAGTGGAAAGTTCAGTTATTTGTCACTCCCAGTAAAATTATCCTATTAAGCTCGGTTGCTTTATTTGGAACTTGTATTTTAATTATAATGATTATATTTTTTTTGCATTGGAAAGAAAAAAAAGTTGACAGACTTGAAAGACTACAAGAAGCTCATAGATTTAATTTCGATGCGATGTAATTTATATTTCACAACCAAAATAATTATTCTATTATTACTAAAAAAAAAAAAAAAAAAAAGTTATTGTTTACTGGTGTTTTCTCAAATTTACATAACTAAAAGCTAACGATTTCAAAGTTAAAGGTCAGAAAAAATTAAATATTTAATTTTATTTTTATAATTTATAAAGGGAACTCGATCCAAAAACATCAGATGTAGTTATTTTTTTTTTATAGTTTACTAAAATCACAAGTGCATTATTTTTTTTTATTTAAAAAATTAGGGATAATTTAATGAAATATAAGTCTGATGATTGTCTATGAATTGTAATTGAAGCATTATCAAAGTATTGTTTTTTCCCCCTTTAAACTTTTAAAGTTTAATAAAGCTTCATTTACAACATATATAATAAAAAATATTTTTGGTAAACTAAATATCCAACACAAAAATATAAATTGTAAAACACTTATCTTAGGTTTTAGTGCATTCTTCTAATTTCTTTACTCACTCAATCTTTAATCAATTTTTTAATTTAGTTGAATATTGTTATTTTTTTTTTCCGCTGGTACGGATATTTCAATGAATTTTCCATATTTTTTACAATCCTTTGACGGTAATTTTCCGTTTATTAATTGGCAAAGTTTTCTCTAATTGTATTTGTGTATTCTAAAAAAAAAAAACAGTACACCAGTTACCGGAATTCAAATGTGATTGTAACAATTATTAATTATTATTATTATTATATTATATATACTTATTATAAAAAATTGTGTAAAATTTAATTATTTCTTGATCTTTATTTGAATTCATCTTATGTGGAAAATAAAAACCAAAAAAAAAAAAAAAAGTTTCAAAAAAAACTTAAAATTTAAAATAAAATATTAATTTACCTAATCCAAGAATTTGATAAACATAAAAAATGATTCCTTTTGTATTTAAATTGAAATTTAATTATTTTAGACTCATTTGTTATACTTTTATAATTTTAAACCGTAATTCCCTGTTTTCGCTCTATGATTTTTTAAACAAGAAATGGAACAAAATTTGTAAGATGAATATTCAAAGGGTATCATTTTGCTTAAATCTAAACCACATTCATTGCATTTTTTAAGCGATGATGATGATGATGATGATGATGGGTCTTTAGTTAATTCTATGGATGTAGACAAAGAACATTTTTCTGGTAACACTTTCTGAAATAATAATAATAATATTTAATAAGTATTTTTTATTTGTTTTTTCCTGAAATAACACAAAGGTTTAAAGTAAATCTCACTTTTTTTTCTTTGGCTTTCCGTTTTCTTTTATTTTTTTTCACCTTTAATTGTTCTTGTTCTTTTGCATGACTGGTTTTATTTGAATCTGCGTCAATCTGAATTTCGTTTGAAGTTGTATCCTCGACCTACAAATTTATTTTTTTTTTGTATTAAAAATTCTAATCCCAAATAAAACCCACAAATAAAAAAAAAAAAAATTAATATCGTCGATGATTACAACAAATTCCTAGCATAATCACAATTTAATTATTTTAAAAAAATTTTTATACCTCGTTTGATTCACTATTAACAGGACCAATAAAACCTTTAAATGAATTTTTCGTCAACTCATCCCCTGCTACATCAAATGGTGCTTTAAAACTAGCATTTTTTACATTTGGATCAACCCCTATTTCTAGTAAAGCTACAACCAATTCAGGAAGACATCTTTGAGCAGCCAAATGCAAAAGAGTATCATCACTTTTTTTAATTACACTTGTATTTAATAATTTTAAAAACTCCTGTCTGGAAACGTTTTCATCTGTAAAAAAAAAAATAAAATAAAATAAATTCATTCATCGATTAAAAAGTAAACACAAAAAAAACAAATTAAGTGTGATAATCACCAGATTTTTGACTGGAATTGTTTTTCTCAGAATTTTTTTCACATAATCTATTCAAGTCTTTTAAAGTTGTAATAAAACACTTTTTATTTTTTTCATTGCAATAATTAATTAATTTTTTTTTTATATTTTCATATTTTTCTTCTAACGTTTCAATTTTGTTCAAATTTTTGTTTAGAGTCGATGTTTTTTGGTTCTTTTCTTTTGATGATGATTTCGATTGTTTTGAGTTTTTTTTTTTATTTTGTGGAACAGTATCTTCATATTCTCGAAGATGGTCAAAACTTATTTGACAATCACTCCATGAAAGATCTATTTCATCATTCAATTCAAGAGAACCATCTGTCGTCTCTGCGCTTTCAGGTTCATTAATGATATTATCGATTTTTTTACTTTTTTCCATTTGATTTCCTGCCATGATTTTTGAATGAAACAGTCTAGGTTTTTTTGTCGGTTTAGGTGAATCATTAATTTTTTTAGAAAATAATTTACTAATTCTGTTTTTAAATTCATCATCGGAAGCTGAGGAAAAAAAAATATTATTTTATTTTTAACTTTTTAACCACAGGAAAATTTTTATTTTGAAATTCAGACAAGTGATATTCCAAAGCAAAAGGGTTTTTATAAACTATTTAAAATTTAAACGTTTAACACAATGAGTAACATGATTAACACAAAATTATGTTAAATTGAATTTAAAACATTATATTAAACTTACCATAAATTTCAATGGTTGAAAGTAAATCATAGACTCTTTTTGTTTCATTAAACGTTGGCCTTTTAGTTGGAATTGGAATATTTCTTAGACGATCATCACTTTTAAGAATTGGAGGATTTTTACCTCCAAACAAAACACTTCTATTACTGGGTCCTACGGCTCTGAAGAATATTAAATTACATTTTTTTATTATGTCCGCCCAGTCTATAATTATTTTCCGTACATGCTAAAAACAATTATATCTTTTTTTGCTAAAATTATTTTTTATTATTAGTAAATTTTGCAGCCAATATAAATAACTATTTTTCTTTTTTTTTAAATAAATGTGAAAAATTAAGTTTCTTTGAAAATTATAAGGTTATTATTCACATATTTGTAATATTATTATTATCAAAAAAAATTTTGTTTAATTTAAAAATAATTTTTACCTGAGCTAATGACTGTTCATTGTAACGTCTTAAACTTGCTCCTGCACTTTTGTGATGATGGCCACTTTTATTATCTCTAATCGACTGAATGTTACCTTGCTTTGAACGAACAGTATATGAATGAAATGTTTTGTGACACACAATATTATTGTGGTCAAAAATAGCTGCAGCAAAATGTCCACCACCTAATTTTTAAAATGTAGATATGAGCAAAAAAAAAATGAATTCTGTACTACAAATTTCAAAATCCTTACTTAGCATGACTATCATCCATTTTTGTGGATTTATTATACGATTATTAAATATATCTACAAGATTATCATTCAGTAAAAGCTCCTTTTTCTTATTCAACAAAATGCATTTGTAAACTGATAATATTTGTTGTTGTGAGTTCTTAAAAAATATTTTAATATGCCTATTTGGTTTTTTGTCACAGTTTGCTTCATTAATGTTTTTCGTTTCATCATTTTCGTCATCATGATTCAAATCATTTTTATCATTGCAAGTTGAAACCTCTAAAAGAATATTAAGAAATTAGTTACAAGAAATTTACACAATTATTGTTCAAATTAACAAAAATTAAAATATACATAGTGCATTACTTAAAAAATTTACAATAAATAAAATATTAAAAAATTTATTTTAACCTGTCAAACATGCGTTATTATTATTTAAAAATAATTTGTTCCCTAGACCTTTTTTTACATTAAAGGCATGCAAATTTGATTTATAATGATTTTTTTGATTTAATACATTTTCAAATGATGTCTCCCAATAGGAACAAGTTAAAACTTCAGATACTGCTAGTTTTTTAAAACTTTTTACAAGGGGTTGTTTTTTTTTTGAAAAAAAAAAAAAAAAAAAAAAAAAAAAT